GAGTGAAAGACGTGAGAAAAGAATTTACAGTAGGATGGAGTAACGAACAGGTGGGATAAAGGAGTTAACAAAAGTTTTCAGCAAACGGCCACACGGTAAGTGCTGTCTTGTGGCCGTGTTACAAGTACACACCTCTGTCGGGAGCAAACAGAAGCCACACACCACAGGTAAATACATGCACGGGGCTGCGTGCCAGTCACTTCCTCTTTAAAACCCGGGGGGCCGCATGTGGCCCGGGCTGCAGTGTGCCCTGGACGAGATCCATGTGGTCGGGTGGGAAGGGACCGGGGGGCACGACACAGGGGATTCAGCGGTGGCACGGTGAGGCTACAAGAGCAGGGCCACGAGACGCCAGCCGAGAGGGAGCGTCCCGGCTGCCGGAAGACAAGGCCCAGGCTGGCAGCTGAGTCCCCGGCAAGAACCCGGCCGGGAGCCAGGCCCCCTCCGTGGCGTGACACCAGCTGAGAAGGAAGCATCAGAAGACTTGAGAAGTTACCCCACAACTGTTCTCAGAGGCTTACTGTCTTTTCGGTTCTGGAAGATTTACCGTTAGAAATATTTAAGGGTTCAGACCTTGACCGTTCATCTTCAGGGCACAAGGATTCCACGTATATTTCATATACTGAGTATGTATCGTTTTAGAAATATTGACCCATTTAGAGCTAACAAGTCAGTCTTGTGATTCGGTTTCAAATGTGTGATTGAGCTATTGGTGGATTGAGCTATTTTAACCTGAAATTTTGTGAGTCTAATAAAGTATTAGAACACATACAGTCAGAAAACACCCCATTTATACTTTACTAGATTGGAGTCAGCGGCAAGTTCCAGAACCAGAAAACCGCAGAAGTTAAAAAGGAAAAAATATTAAAATTTAAAATGCAGGTTATCACATCGAAAATTACTTAACTCCTTTTGCAAGTGGGATCAAACTTGAACTAAAATCCCCTTAAAATCTGCTAGGTTGAAAAGATTTATAAATTGCACTGAAAGCTTAAGAAAGAACTAGATATTAGCATTCATATGTTTAGTGAATTGTATATTCATTTTCAAAACCAAAACCGTCTCTTACATACAGAAATCTTTCTCTCTCACACACGCACACACAGCAGCAAGGTAATGAAAGTGTGGTTATCTGCAGAGCACAAGGCACAGGGCAGGCTCACTGTTCTCCGCTCCTAAGCTGGTGGCGCAGTTAGGTGTTCGGTCTGAGAAGAGATGCAGGCCGTCCCCTCCCCTGAGGACACCTCAGCCGGTCTCCAGCGAACAGCTAAGACCTGACTACTCATCAGGTGCTTCTATCTTTCTGCATTCTCAGGAGGAACAAAGAGGGTGAATTTCCTGCAGACTTATTTTTTTTTAACCTTTTAGTTACACAATAAAGCTGCTCTTACTGCAAATTCAAAAATTAGCTGCTACGGCAAAAGGCCATACATGTGATGCAAACCTCCTCCCAGAGGAACCTGCTGCGCTTGGGCGAAAGTCCATGTTTTCATGCCTTTTTCCACTTGCTCGATAGGATTCCCTTTGTCTGCTCATACTCCATTTTATCTTAAGTTCTTTCCACATTCTTTCACTGGGGCCTGATTTTATTTTATTGTTTTTAATTTTTTTTTTTTTTTTTTTTTGAGAGAGAGACAGAGCACAAGGAGGGGAGGGGCAGAGAGAGAGGGAGACACAGAATCTGAAGCAGCTCCAGGCTCTGGGCTATCAGCACAGAGCCCGACGCGGGACTTGAACTCATGAATCACGAGATCATGACCTGAGCTGAAGTCAGATGCCTAACCAATTGAGCCACCCCAGCGCCCCTGGAGCCATAATTTTTAAGGCTACTTAAATAACATGCATACAACTGTGCGATAATATAAAATATAGAATATTTTACCATACGTGTTTTTGAGAAGTGGTTTTCTCCCCTTTTAATCATCTTTTCATAAATGTACATGGACCTACATTCCTCTCTGACGATTAGCACCAGTGTTTAACTGCCAGCCTATTCATAATCATCCTGGGGGGCACCTGGGGGGCTCAGTTGGTCAAGCATCCGACTTCGGCTCAGGTCATGATCTTGAGGTTTGTGGGTTCCAGCCCCGCATCAGGCTCTGTGCTGACAGTGAGGAGCCTGGAAGCTGCTTCGGATTCTGTGTCTCCCCCTCTCTCTGCCCTTCCTCTGCTTGCACTCTCTGTCTCTCAAAAATGAATAAAATTTTTTTCTAAATAATTCTGCTTTTCTAATATTTCCTTACATAATATACATATATTTCCTAATATATATTGTAATATCGTAATATAAAGGATCCTGCGATGACGATTTCTTGTACGTTTTGTGCACATATCTAAGTGTCTCTAAGTGAAACCTGGGGGTCAGAGACAGTGCTTTGAGGTTTACGAAACTGCCCTCCAAACGAGCTTGGGTCCAAGTGTCTCTTGTCCTTCCACAGGTTTCAGACGCTGAGAAAAGACCAAAAGGAAACATGCAGACTGCAGAGGTCCCCACCTGAACTCACCAGGATAGACGAGGAAGTCACCCCCAAACTTGCCAGCCGCACTGAGGAAGAAGCCTCGCTCCCACAGATCTCTGTAGATGCTGTAGCGAAGCTCATGGGCAGGACGGCCAGCATGGGGCCAGTCTTTGGACTGGACGCGCCAATCCAGGGGTCTGGCCTTGATGGGTCGCGGCCTAGCAGTGGCCAGCTGCACCAGCAGGGCGGATCTGGGCAAGGGGGCCGCCCCATTCGAAGGCCCTGGCTGGGGAGAAGAGGAACCTGGGGAGATGAATCCAAGAGAGTTGGGTGAATTCAGGGACAAGGTCTTCCCATTCCCCAGGGAGTCCCAGGCTCTAGATTCCCGGCCAGGATTCCCAAAAGACCTCCCCCTTCCTTCCCCTGGTGCCAGGACACAAGCCCCACCCTCACCTGCTTCCTCGGGCTCTCCAGAAGCCTGGCTCCCGCCCGCCTCTTTCTCCGCCGCAGCCTGGCTCCCGCCGCTGCCCGATTCCTGGTCCAGCTTCTGCTTCTTCGCAGCCTGGCCCTCCGCGATTTTCTCTAGGAGCTCCTGACGCCGAGTCTCACGGGCCTCGGCTGCCAGGGCGCTTTGCTCCTGCAAGTCTTGCTCTTGCTGGCGTTTGAAGGATTCCAGAGCCTGACAAGTCAATCAGCGAGAACCCCAGGATCCAAGTACACCCTGCCTTTGGAAGCCAGCAATCCTGCCCCCTGGCCCCTCCCACCCTCAAACCCGAACTCCGGGACCCAGTCTCCTGCACCCACATTCTTCCAGAATATAGGACGCCCTGACCCCTCCCACCTTAGGGACCCGACCCGCGGAGTCCAGGTGTCCTGCCTGTACTTCCGCTGGTCCCGGGCGGTCGCGCCCCAGGCCCGCCCCTTACCATACTGTGCTGGCGCGGATCCGGGCGCGGGGCGCTGACCAGGGTCACAGCGCCGATCTCGGCCAGGAGTCGCGCCTCCTCCGGCATCAGCAGCAGCGGGAGGCCCAGGCGCGAGTTCTGGCGGGGCCCGCGGGGCAGGGCGCCCACCGTACGGCCCCCCACTCCCAGACGCTCCCGCAGTGCCTGCACCGCTTCGGCCCCCCATACCAGGGAGCGGCCGTTCGCCACCTCCACCACCAGCATCCTCCTGCGAGAGCCAGGGGCACACAGCGGTCACCGACACAGCGCTCCCACCGCCTGGGGATGGGAAGTGGTAGTGGGGGGGGGGGGGTCTCAGCGGGGCCCCGCCCCTGAGCCTCGGGAGGCGGAGCCTCGTCACGGCTGCGTTTGCCACCTGCTGAGTGTCCAGGCCTAGCCCCGCCCCCTGAATGCCGGGCCCCGCCCCCTGAGCGATCCCGCCAGGCCCCGGGGCCACCGAGACGAGACCCCGCCCCCCGCCGAGTCGCTAAGGCCCCACTCGGCCCGCCGGACCTAGCGGTCAGCGTCCCGGCCATCGCGCCTTCTGGCTGGGAGACAAGCCTCCGCTAATGCGGGGCCACGCCCCCTCCGGGTGGCTCGGCACTCGAGCCCGCCCCTTTCCCAAGCACCGAGGCGCGGCCTCCTCGCGCGACGTCGGACGCCCAAGGCAGAAGCCCCGCCCCCGCCCGGCGCCAGATTTCGGCATTCGGACCGCCTCGACACGGCCGAACTCGCAGCCCCGCCCCCTCCCGAACGCAGGCATTCCGGCGTTCGGGCGTCTCGGCTCCCGTCAACCCCGCGGCCAGGGCCCGCCCCCTCCGGCCGCAAGCACTCCCAGTTGGGGAGTACCAGCCCCAGTGAGCGAAACCCGCCGCCGCCTCCCCCTGGGCGCCCGCCGTCGTTCTCCGCCCGGGCAGGCTCACCCCCGCGTGAGCGCTCCCCTCGGAATGCAGCACTGTCCTCTGACAGAACCAGTCACCTCGTAAACACCAACTCGCAGTCCCGGCGGAGCCGCCCCCTACGTAGCGCGCCACGCGCTGCTTCCTGCAGCCCTCCGCATCCCGACCCCCAGCGTCAATTTCGTCACGCCGCCACCTCAGCGAAGCGGGAAGTCTGGGGTCCGCCCCCAGCGGCTCCGTAGCCCCGCCTTCCCCGTAGAACGGAACACCTTGGCCCCGCCCCCGTGAAGCGACCTCCCCGCCGCTAGGGTTCCGCCACTAGGGAAAGTGAGGTTTATTACCCTGGCCCCGCCCCATGGCTGATGTGTGGCTCCCCCGGGGCCCCCCATCCGGCGGATGCTGTTAGTTCCGCCCCTTGAAATGTTCCAGATCACCGCCTCCTTCGTGCTGCCTAAATCTGTGGCTCCGCCTCCTTGTCTAAGAACGAAACTCCGCCTATTTCCTAACCCGGGTCACTGGTACCCAACTGTCCCCGAAGGAAACTGCCGCTATGACCCCGCCCATATCCGGCCGAAGCTCTTGGCCCCGCCTACATACGAACGGAGAGCTCCGAAGTACACCGAAGCTTGTGGCCCCGCCTCCGAAGGGCCGCCGATTCTGCCCGAAGGAACCCGAAGCGGAGGCCCCTCCTTCTCCCGGCCCCTCTGCGTCCGTACGAGCCCGAAGCTCCGGGGCCCGCCTCTTTACGTGCTCTGGGCTTGGCTGCCGAGGGGTCCAGGTGCAGCAGCGGGCAGGGGCTGGAGGGCGCCCTGTGCCGGCTGCTTCCCTACCCGGCTCGCAGCCTGACGGGGCCGCACATCCGGCCCGGGACCGCGACGGAGCAGCGCGGGCTGGGCCGGGGAGGCGTGGCCACAGCCCCGGCGCCCGTGGGCCGGGACCGCTCGGCCGCCTCCTGCCCGGCAGGCGGCGCGGAGCCGGGCCCAGGTGGGCGGGGGCCGGGGCGCCCCGGGGGCGAGGCTGGGGGGCTGCGGACTGGCCGGCCGACGGAGGAGGACGCCGCGCCGGGAACGCGGCCGAGCAGGGGGTGGTGTAACCGCCTGTGGCTTTGGCGGAGCCGGTCTGACTTGCGCTAGGGGAGTGGGGCCATAAGTGGGGGGCGCCCTCCAGGCTTTAGGTGGGAGAAGCGTCTGCACCTTGGATGGAGGGGGGGGCTGGAGTCTGGGCTCTTGGAGAGCCCGAGTTCCCGGATCCTCCAAGGAGGAAGGGGCTGGGAGCTCGGGAATCCTGGGCTCTCCAAGGGAAAGGCCCGAGACCAGGGTTGTTGCTGGGTTCTCGGCGAGCGATGACCGAACCCGTGGGTCCTCGGTGGGGATTGGGGGGTTAGATTTGATTTCTGCGATCTTAGAGAGAGGGGCCGGATTCCTGGATCCTCGGGGGAGGGGACTGAGACGTCTCGATTCCTGGGTTTTCAGAGAAGAGGACTGGAGGCCTGGGTTCTCCAAAAAGCGAGGCTGGGAGTGGATTGCTTTATCCTCGAAAGAGGAAGGTCCTGGAGGTCCGGACTCCTATGTTCTCGGAGGAGAGCGGCTGAGGGTAGGACTCCATGATCCTCCACACTGGGGACTAGAGGGGGTGGATTCCTGCATCCTGGAAAGGTGAGGAACTGATGACCCGGCCCCCTGGGTTCTCACTACAAACCCTCTGCCCCTCCCCCAGACCATGTCGCCTGAAGAATGGACTTATCTAGTGGTTCTTCTTATCTCCATCCCCATCGGCTTCCTCTTTAAGAAAGCTGGTGAGTCAGGTTCCCTCCCTAGTGGAAAATTGGAGGGTGGGGGGTTACGGGGGGGGGGGCAGGGGACTCCCTGGAAGGTTCCAGGCTTATGCTGTCCCTTCTCCCTGCAGGACCTGGGCTGAAGAGATGGGGGGCAGCAGGTGTGGGCCTGGGGCTCACCTTGTTCACCTGTGGCCCCCACACTTTGCATTCCCTGATCACCATCCTTGGGACCTGGGCCCTCATTCAGGCACAGCCCTGGTGAGGATGGGGGGGGGGGTGTGTGTGGAGGGAGAACAGGGGGAAGAAGCAACTTGTTTCCTTTTTGGATCTATCTCCCTTTCTGCCTTTGTCTCTGAGTGTCTCTTTGTCTCTGGATTCTCCGTGTGGTTTGATCCTTGTTTCTTCCTGTCTGGCCTTTTTTTCTGGGTCTTGTCTCTGGGTGTTTGTCCTGGTCCTTAATATCTTTATCATGTATTCAGGGGGTTGGGGGGCCGGCCCTGCCACCATTTGTATTTGTATTACGTCTCCCTGTCTCTCTCCGTGTGTCTTGCCTCCCTTGGAAAAAAATGGAGGCCTGAAGGGTTTTCGCCCTAAAGCTTCTCTTCACCCCTTTCTTTTCTCTGTTGTGGCGCATTTCTGTGGAGTGAGCCCCTCTCACACTGGTTCAGTCTTGCTCCTCCGCCCCTCCCCCCCTTATCTGTTGGGGCGGGGGAGGGAGGGCTTGTGCTGGAACCTGGGGGAGGCGGAGTCAGGCCCCTGTACCCAGCGTGCCCGCCCTGCGTCTGCCCAGCTCCTGCCACGCGCTGGCCCTCGCCTGGACCTTCTCGTACCTCCTGTTCTTCCGCGCGCTCAGCCTGCTGGGCCTGCCCACCCCCACGCCCTTCACCAATGCCGTCCAGCTGCTGCTGACACTGAAGGTCAGACTCCCATCCGCCCCCCCTTGGTGCCAGGGAACAGCCCATCTTCTGGTCCTCCTCCCCACCCACTCCCAGGGGGAGGAGGGGAGGGGGGGTTATCTCCCACGCACCCCCGGGGCGGGACTTCACCTCTCAGCTATTCCTCCCGGGCAAAGAGGTAGCCCCCGCCCCCCACTTTCCCGGCTGCCAAGTAGGGTAACCGCCGCCAAGTAGTGTAACCGCAGGTGTCATTTGGTCTTTGCCGTGTGCCAAAGGCTTTGCTCAGTGCTTTACAGGCAAGTTCTCGAGGAGTGCATCTTGGTAGCAAGCCATTTAGCCAAGGAGGGGAAGGCAGGTTTGGAGAGAAGGCGCTTCTCTACGGGCACAAAAGCAGGACACCCGTGTGTGGCTCGAACCCGCCTGGGAAGATGGGTGAAAGCAGATTCCCAGGCCCCACCCCAGACTGAAAAGCCATGAGCTCCTGTGTGCTGGGCTCCAGCCACATGTCACACAGGACACAGGACAGTCACTCGAGGTAGTGAGCCAGGTCCCCCGAGCCTCTTATGTTCTCAGCAGCCCGGGATGCAAGGGCCCCAGTTGGTCAGCTGAGAGTTGGAGGAAGAGCCTAAGAGGGTGTAGGAACAGCATGTGGCAGGGAGCAAGCTGAGCTCCGGTGACTGTGCACCAGTCACCGCTAGTGTTCAAGAGACAGAAGGGGGGTGGGTCCAAGGTGAGGGTTTGAGGCTTCCCAGGGGGCTCAGGATCCACTGGAAGTGATTTTGGGGTCTGTCGCCAGAAGAGGTAAGGTGACCAGATTGGTGCGTTTGGAACTGTGCTCCGGATGCCGGCAGAGTTGCCACAGGAAGGGTAGGAAGGGATGAGAGCGGCCTCCTTGATCGGAGGCCCGCTGACCAACTGGTGGCTTGACCCAGGCCATCGGTAGGCCGCTCAGAGCTGCAGCAGGAAGTGCTGCGTTGGGGATACTTTGAGGAGTCCCTCTTTACAGCAGTGTGGGTGGGGGGTGGAGGAGCCGGAAGGGACAGCGAGGATCCCGGACCACAGCGGGGAGCCGGTACTCACCCTGCAGACGGGAGGACTTCCGGTAGTGGAACGGAGAGGAGAGTGTGCGGAGCCCTCTCTCCACCTTGAGAGGATGGATCAAGGGGCACAGCCCCGCCCTCACACCTGCCTTCCCCGCGCTGGTCTGGGGCTCCCTGTCGGCAGAACCCAGGGGGAAGCCCAGAGGCTGGCTGAGGCCTGCGGCTGCCGTCTCAGCCCTGGGTCTGCAGAGGAGAAGCGTGGAGAACAGGCCTGAAGGCTGGGAGGCAAAACGGAAGACTCCGAGACCTGGGGCGTAAGGAAGGTTTCCTGCCTGAGCAGTTAACTGCCTGCTGGCGGCATTTGCCAAGGGGAGAGCACCGCCTCTGGGGAACAGTAACGTGTTCCTCGTTGGAGGCAGTAAGTTTGAGGACCGCGGTAGGCGTGTGAGCTTTAATGACAAGAGGCACCATGAATGGTTTGGGGACGGAGGGAGGAGCCCAGACAGTATGGCTTGGAGATCATGAGAGCATGTGTGGCACAGAGCCACGTCCTGCAGGGGGACACAGAAGGGGGAACGTGGAGATGGAAGGGCCCAGAAGGCAGTGCTGGGGAGCACCTGCTGGCCAGAGGCCGCCTCCCTGCCACTCATGACTCTGGATGCCCAGAGCCGCCCATGGACTAGAACTTCAGCTCCCAGCAGCGTCCCATGGCTGCAGGGGGCGGACGTGAGGAAGGCCCCGGGTCTGATCTGTCACCTACCCGTGCCCCTTCCTCCCAGCTGGTGAGTCTGGCCAGTGAAGTTCAGGACCTGCACTTGGCCCAGAGGAAGGAAATGGCCTCAGGTTTCAGCAAGGGGCCCACCCTGGGGCTGCTGCCTGACGTTCCCTCTCTGATGGAGACGCTCAGCTACAGCTACTGCTACGTGGGAATCCTGACAGGTGAGTATGCCTGCGCCCAGCCCTGCCTCCATGCACCTCGTCACTGCCGTCTGTCCCCACTGTCCACCCGGATTTTGGTGCCTGTTCTGTTCCTGTCTCCCTACCTGCTTTTTTTTTTTTTTTTTTAATATTTATTTATTTTTGAGAGAGACAGAGTGCAAGCAGAGGAATGGCAGAGAGGGAGACACAGAATCTGTAGCAGGCTCCAGGCTCTGGGCTGTCAGCACAGAGCCCGACGCGGGGCTCGAACTCACGAACCTCGAGATCAGTACCTGAGCTGAAGCCTAACCGACTGAGCCCCCAGGTGTCCTGGCATCTGCTCCTCTTGAGGGCAAGCATCTCTGCCTGGGCCCACGTCAGGCTCTCCCACTGGCCCTCCAAAGCAGAGCCAGACTGTTCTCCGCCTCAGTGATTCCGTGTGGCTTCTTGGGAACAATCAGGAGATAAAGGAGCAAGGTCTTTGCAACCATGATGTTTCTGCCACCCAAGGAACAAATCGTCACGTTCATATTATGCTCCCATTTTTAGCGTCAGAAAATATTTTTCATTAACGTTGACATCCTAGGAGGTGTTCTTTCTTTTTTAAAAAAATTTTTAATGTTTTATTTATTTCTGAGAGAGAGAGACAGCATGAGCCGGGGAGGGTCAGAGAGAGAGGGAGACACAGAATCTGAAACAGGCTCCAGGCTCTGAGCTGTCAGCACAGAGCCCGACGCGGGGCTTGAACCCACGAACCGTGAGATCATGACTTGAGCTGAAATCAAGTGTCAACCGACTGAGCCCCACAGGTGCCCCTGGGAGGTTTTCATTTTTATGACATATTTATTGAACCGTAATTGACACGTTCACCCACTTAAAGCTACATGCAACTCAGTAGTTTTCAGCACAGCTGCAGACCTGTGCGGCCAACACCACCATGTTATCGTAGGACAGTTCCATCGCCCCGGAAGGAAACTCTGGACCCTGTAGCCATCGTCCCTCAAGCCCATCTGCCCCCAGTCCCTGGGAACCACCGGCTGACTCTCTGTCTCTGTAGACGTGCTGACGCTGGTCATTTATAAACAGAATCCTACTCTGTCTGCTGTTTTCGTGACACATAAGGCTGTCACTTCTGTTAATCCGCTCCTGCCCCTCCCTGGGCTAGGCCTTCAGTTTATCTCCAGTGCTGCCAAAGTCTCCTGCTTTCCACCAGCGACCTCTGCAGTCCCCTCCCTGCTCAGGGGCCAGGGTAAAGGGTGTCCCAGCACCTCCCTGTTGCAAGAGCCTGAGTGGTTTCCTGGCTCTCAGAACAAAACCCTGAGATCTCCATGCCTGCAGCCCTCTGATCTCCCAAACCACTCTGTTCCTCCCCGGGTCCACTGCTCTACCTCCTCCTCCGTGTAGAGGTCACCCCGCCCCTCGGGTGTCTGTCCCTGTGTTTCTCAGGGGCTTGCCTCCATACCCCCCACTCTCCAGCTCTTTGTTCCTCACTACTTAGCGTCTGTGCTTTGTTTTTTTCTCCGAGTCCTTGAACAACATCTCTCTGGTTTCTTTCTTTCTTTTCTTTCTTTCCTTCTTATTTTATTTTTTTAATGTTTATTTATTTTTGAGAAAGAGAGTGCCAGTGGGTAATGGGTCAGAGAGAGAGTGGGAGACAGAATCTGAAGCAGCTCCAAGGTTCCGAGCTGTCAGCACAGAGCCCGACGCAGGGCTGGAACCCACGAACCGTGAGATCATGACCTGAGCCAAAGTCGGGCACTTAACCGACTGAGCCACCCAGGCGCCCCTATTTTAAGTAATCTCTACCGGGAAAGCCCAGCGTGGGGCTGGAACCCAAGACCCCCCAAAATCAAGAGCCTGAGACTCACTGGTTTCTTGTCCCTTTCTCTCTGTCTCCCTCCCCTGGTTCAGGGTTTTGCAGCCCTGCCCCCACCCCTCAGCTCCCTGCCCTCGGCCCCCACCCCACCCCCTCCAGATCCGTCTCTGACAGCCGCCCCTCCCTCCCTCCCTCCCGCCACAGGCCCGTTCTTCCGCTACCGCACGTACCTGGACTGGCTGGAGCAGCCCTTCCCGGGGGCCGTGCCCAGCCTGCGGCCCCTCCTGCGCCGCGCCTGGCCGGCCCCGCTCTTCGGCCTGCTCTTCCTGCTGTCCTCACACCTCTTCCCGCTGGAGGCCGTGCGCGAGGACGCCTTCTACGCCCGCCCGCTGCCTGCCCGCCTCTTCTACATGATCCCCGTCTTCTTCGCCTTCCGCATGCGCTTCTACGTGGCCTGGATTGCCGCCGAGTGCGGCTGCATTGCTGCCGGCTTCGGGGCCTACCCCGTGGCCGCCAAAGCCCGGGCCGGGGGCGGCCCCACCCTCCAATGCCCACCCCCCAGCAGGTCAGGCGGCGGGAGGGAGGCTTCCCAAGACCTGGCAGCCCCCATCAGCACAGGCTGGCCCTGCCCCTAGCAGGGAGGAGAGCGGGGAGCAGGGGGTGCGGCTGCGCCCCCTGCTGTCAGTGGAATGTCACCCCTTGGCCACTACAGCCCACCTACCCCGTCCTAGGTCCTAGGGAGCAGTGCTCTTCAGACCTGCCTCTGCCCCCTGTTGCTAATGCTTGTCACCTCTGGGGATGGTGAATTGCTCTCTGTTGCTAGGAAAAGGTGGCGTCTTAGCAACCATGTGCCTCCCCTCTGTTGCTATGGAAGTGTCACCCCAGTAACCTGATTGTTCCTGGATACTTGGGATACCATCTTTGGGCTGTGATGGGGAAATGGTTACCTAGCAACCAGACTGCCCCTCTTTGCTAGGGAGGCGCTTCCCTAGCAACCATGGCCTGCCCCTTCCTGCCACAAGACTCACTTTTCGTTGCTATGTAAATGGCGCCCCCTAAACTTCCCTTGGTTACTAGAAGCCAGGGCACAGACCCCAACCATGGGACGCCATCGCGTCACAGCCTGCACTTTCTGAGGACATGGTGTCCCTGACCATGCTTTCCTTTAGCAAAGAGGATGCCGCTCCAGCAACCGCGGGTGGCTTTCCTACCATTGCCGAGGAAGTACCCCAGTAGCTGTGCATTGACCTTGTTTGTAATGCCACCCCCCATCCCCGTTCTTGGATTGCTAGCCAGTAACTAGGCGCTGTCTTGTTGCTAAGGAAGTGCTGTCCCAGGTTGCTAGGGAGATGGCGCTCCTAACCACTGGGCCTGGACTCACTACCTACCCCCCCCAAGTCACCCCCCATCCCCCCGTTCCTAGCGTAGACCTCCGGCTATTAGTGAGGGCGTCCACCAGGAAATGGCAAGCAGGAACTGAAGGCTTTTCTGATAGATGGCCCCTCCCGTTCTCAGAAGCCACCCCCTGGGGTGGGTGAAGGATGTTCGCCACCACTGGGACTGTTGGCGCTGGTGACCCAGCACCACTGCATTGCTGGAGACGACACTTCTTGAGTAATCATAAGGACCGGTAGCCGAGAGGGGCCCTTTCTGGAAGCGTTCCTAAACCTAGGCCTTGTTCCTGAGGAATGCCCTTTCCCTAGCAACAGAGACCATGTAGGTGTCACGTGGCCTCCAGCATCTCCCTAGCAGTCACAGACCACCTCGTTGCCAGGGATGCTACTTCCCTAGCAACCACAGTGTCCTGACAACCTAGGACCACACTTGGAGGCTTCTCTGAATAGAGTGCTTGGTTGCTAAGGAATGGCGTTTCCCTAGCATCTGAGACCCCTGAAGGGTCAGGTTGCTGAGGACTTGACCATAGCCCCTCTAGGCTTTCCGTTGCATTGCAGTCCCCAGACCAAGAGAAGGAGGGCCCCTTGTCAGTGAACCGTGGCGCCCCCGCGCCCAGTCCTCCTCCCGGAAAAAGCTCCCTCTGGGCTACCCTCCCCTGTTGCCCTAGCGAACGTGACAGCCAGGGCCCTGGCCTGGCCGTGATCCCCTCCTGAGCATCCGGGGCTGGGGCAGTAGCCAGCGTCAGGAGGGGGGCCTGGCTGAGCTGCATGTCTGTCCCCCACCCTCACCCTCCACCCCCCCCCCAGTCCGGAGAAGGCGGCCTCCGTGGAGTACGACTATGAGACCATCCGCAACATCGACTGCTACGGCACTGACTTCTGCGTGCGGGTGCGGGATGGCATGCGGTACTGGAACATGACGGTGCAGTGGTGGCTGGCGCAGTACGTCTACAAGAGCGCACCTGCTCGCTCCTATGTCCTAAGGTGAGCGCGCCTGCCCTGGGAAAACGGAGCTACACCCCCCCCCAGCGGCGCCTGCAGGCTCCCGGCCTGGCCTCCGCCCCAGAGGATCATGGGAGTTGTAGTTTCTTAAGCCGGTTGCCCAGCCACTGATTTGCATTGCTCAGGGGTAAAGCGTTCCCCTCCTCTGGGCCTCAGTTTCTACCTCTGTAAAGTCAGCATCATTGGACAGAAACAGCGTACTGAATCCTGTGGACTCTGGCCAGACTTTCTGGAATCCTGGCCCTGCCAGATACAGAGAAACCTTAAGTAATTAGTTGATCTGTGTTTCCTCTACTCTTAAATGGGGGTGATGCTGTTACGTGCTTCAAAGGTTGATGTGAGGATTAAGCGATGTGAGACGTACCTAACGTGAGGCCTGCCAGGTGAGTAGTCACTGTATGGTAGCTTTTATTCATTATCCATCTGATACTTCTCCAGGGGAAACTGTGCCAGATGTTATGTTTAAAACCTTCGGACATAGAGCTCACTACCCTCATTTAAAAAAATATTTTTTAATGTTTATTTATTTAATTTTTTAAAAATGTTTTATTTATTTCTAGGAGAGAGAGAGAGAGAGAGCGTGAGCAGGGGAGGGTCAGAGAGAGAGGGAGTCACAGACTGAAACAGGCTCCAGGCTCTGAGCTGGCAGTCAGCACAGAGCCCGACGCGGGGCCCGAACCCACGAACCGCGAGATCATGACCTAAGCGAAAGTCGGACGCTTAACCGACTAAGCCACCCAGGTGCTCCGAATATATAAATAATTCTTAAATGCCTAGATATGAATTCTTAAATTCCTTAGGCATAATATGGGAAGAANTCAGCACAGAGCCCGACGCGGGGCCCGAACCCACGAACCGCGAGATCATGACCTAAGCGAAAGTCGGACGCTTAACCGACTAAGCCACCCAGGCGCCCCTAATGTTTATTTATTTTGAGAGAGAGAGAAAGAGAGCAGGGGAGGGGCAGAAAGAGAGGGAGACACAGAATCCGAAACAAGCTCCAGGCTCAGAGCTGTCAGCACAGAGCCCTGCTCGGAGCTCGAACTCATAAACTGAGATCATGACCTGAGCCGAAGTTAGATGCTCAACCAACTGAGACACCCAGGCTCCCTTCCCCACGTTTTAAAGATGAGGGAACCAAGGCTCAGAGAGGTGAGGTAACCTGCCGAGTGTCACTCTACCCTCCCGGAGCCACCAGATGAGGTCAGGACGCAGCTGCAGAGCTAGGAGCTAACCCGCCTGGGTGCCGGAGTCGGGGCTTGGCACGGCCTGGATGTGGGGGCGAGAACGCGAGGAAGTGAAGCGTGATGCCAGGTGATGGCTGTGAGTGCCCGAGACGGCAAGACTGGGGCAGGAGGAAGTTTCCAGAATGGGTCGGGTGAGGGAGTGAGACTCAGGTGCAGACTCACGGACTCCGAGGTGACTCAGGTTTCGGCTGGGGTTACTGGAGGTGTCAGTTAGTGACTCTGGCACAGGAGGAGGTCGGTATAAGGAGCCCACGCTCAGGTGTCTTCAGGTAGAGGTGGGGCTAACGCTCTGGGGCTGAGCATCAGGTCAAGCACGAGGTGCTCCAGTGTTTAGAGCAGAGGTTCTCGGCTGGGGGCAATTGTGCCACACTCCCCTGGGCACATTTGGCAACGCCTAGAAGCCTTTTATGTCATATCTGGGAGGTGCCACTGGTATCCAGTGGTTAGAGGTCAGAGACGCTCCTCAACACCCTGCACGGCACAGGACACCCTCCCCGCCACAAGCACAGAATGATCTGGCCCCAAATGTCAGTAGTGCTGAGACTGAGAAACCCTGGTGTAGACGAGAGATGAGGAGGAGCCGGCAGAGTCAGAGCCGATGAGATAGGACAGTCAGGAAAGGAGAGGGATCATTTGCATGGGTGTCAGGAGCTTCAGTACAACAAAGGCTCCAGCTTGGGCGGGGGTGGGGGGTCTCCAGCAACCTTGATGGGAGCAGTTTGGAGGGCGGAAGTGAAAGCCAAGTGGAGGATGGAAGCGGGGGGAAGGGTTGAGGGGGAGCATGGACTGTTCTTTGGAGAGTGTGCAGGTGGGCAGAGCAGGTGGGACGCAAGCCCAGAGTTCAGCTGCCTGTGTGGAGTTCAGGGTGCCCGGGGGCCATTTTTGTGCATCTCTTCTGCCTTGCTGGGGATGCTCTCTTTAAATGCTCCCGACCCAGGGAATTTTTTTCTCCACCATTGGTAGAAAAGAAAACACAGTTTTGTTGAGGAACCAGAATTACACCGGGCTGTGCTGCAGCGCGTAGCCCGCTAGTGAGATTACCAGAACGGAAAGCAGGCTGCCTTTTTACCGGAGCCACGCGTCACAGTCCCCTGGGCAGCATGAGAGAAATGATAACGGTCCTCCAGTGAGAGGACCCGCGGACTCTGTGCCATGATGCACGGTCTCCTGTTCTGCCCACGGTCAGCTGGTGTGTGGCAGCCACCTGTGCGGGTCGCCTCCACCTGAGGGACGGACGCAGCTTCTGTGTCAGTGACCAGCAGGTGGCAGCGTGATGCCAGCTTCCTCCACGAACCCCCTCAGTGGCCGGGAGCCGGGCCCCCGCTCGAGTGACATTCCTATTTCCGAGGCCTGGTACCGCCACCGTCCAGAAAAACATCCATGAACTGTTTTCATAAGGCTTATTTCCACCCTTGCCGAACATCTCCGTCTGTACCCAAAGGACAGAGGAAAGGCTCTGAAAACACTATGTTTCTTCGGGGAAGTGACTGAAGAAAAGAGAGGGGAAAAGGTCTCCCCTTTTGGTAACAGGGAGAATTCAGCTTTATACAGACTCTTTATGCCCCCAAGGATGAGGGGGCAGCATTATTGTGCCCTCGGGTTATTTTTGTACTTCAAGGACCCTGATGTGCCCCAGGGAAAGGCTGATGCCCACAGACAAGGAAGCACCCCCACCCCCACCCCAGGCAGAGTCCTCGGCGGTGATTTCTGTGTCTCCATGGGAGGGGGCGCTGGAGCCTGAATTTGTAGGTCTTCGAAGGATAGCATTTTGGGGTCCATAGAGAGAGGGGACCATGGCTAGAGATTTCTGAGTCTTCATGAATCAGGAATTGTACTTCTAGATCCCCAAGAGGAAGTGGCGAGGGGCTCAGGTTCATGTGTCTGGAGGCAGATGTGATAAGAGGGAATTAACTGGGTTCCTGAAAAGACAGTAGTGATTCCTGGGTCTGAGGGAGGAGGGGCTGGGGGCCTGGACTCCGGGGTCTGAGGGAGGAGGGGCCGGGGGCCTGGACTCCGGGGTCTGAGG